CAATACGGTTGTTGAACTCAGTGACTTGTCGATTGTACTCGTTGGCGTCTTGTAGAGCATCTGCTTCAGTGGCTTGTTGAGCTTGCTCAGCGATGTGCTGTGTCTGTTCTGCAGTGTTCTTGTCGATGGTGGTTTGATTATAGAGCGAGAGCAGGTCACGTAAGCCTTGCTGAAAGGTGTCGTTGTTATCAGTGATGAAAGTTCCAAGCGTACCATTATCAACGGCAGCTTGGAGTTCTTCAACTGTGAATACAGGCATGATGAGCTCGAGTGGCAAGGGCGATGGGCGATGGGCGATGGGCGATGGGCGATGGGCAATGGGCGATGGGCGATGGCAAAGGTATTTCAAGGGCAATAGGTACAGCGACGATGTGCACGCTGTACGAGTAAAAAAGCTGGCGAACAATATGTTATGGTGGGGATCAAGGAATAGATTGTTCGCAAGGANAGGTACAGCGACGATGTGCACGCTGTACGAGTAAAAAAGCTGGCGAACAATATGTTATGGTGGGGATCAAGGAATAGATTATTCGCAAGGAGGGAAGAGAGACGCTCTTCGCACTCCTTAGGTATTTGTCTATCTACGGAAGGGTACACCCGCAACTTCGCTAAGCGAACCCTTATTCACCAAATCAAAAACTGTCACACAAGGTTCCTTAGATCACGGGAAATGTTCCGGCTTTCGAAGTAACTTCTGGATGGTCAGATGTTGGGTTGAAAGAGTCCATGTTGGAAAAACTTCAGAAATGCATACATTGTACATGTTTGGCAAATGAGACTAGATCTAGTATTCGATTAGTTTTGTTCTCAGAGAGAGTTTTTTTGGGTAGCGTTCACCTAGATCATGACTGCTTTCGAGGAAAACGTAGGTAATGGCGTGTAGATACCTTGTGGCAGTGTTCTCGCCATGCTTTCGTCCAATATGTATTGTTGAAAATAGACTTTGTTTCATTCGCCCAAGTAAATACCAGAAATTGAATATGAAATACGTATATTGAACATTATAACCACACTGCCGGTATTTTATCAGCTCAGCAAAGTCACCTCTTGTCCCTTGCTCATCCCACCTGCAGCGGGCAAGTTGCCGAAACCCCCCACGTAAGGATATAGAGTGACTTGCTTCTTAATTATGTATAATTAAGCTTAATTTCTCTCCGATAAACTACCTTGAAGTTGTTTTGTGTTTCGACATGATATATCCCACCTTTGCGGCGATAATCTTATCTCAACAATGGCTTCGTCGGCAGCAAATGCCGCTCGCTCGCTCAGATGCTGCAACTATACTCATCTTGAGGTGTTTATGGCGATAATCAGGATGGAAATAGGCTTGATTATGTAGATCACTGTGATTGGATAACTTATGAATAGCACTGATGGATATTATTGGTCTTTAGGGTGAGGAATAGAGGCGTGAAATACAAGAAAGTCTTCATGTCATTTCTTTTTTTCCCTTAGCAATCTCCCATCGCCGTTTGCATTGGAAGGAACTGATGCGAAAATGACCCTCGACACCAGGAAATCCTCAAACATGACCGAAATCAATTCAGCACCAGAGTTTGAATCCATTGCTGCCCTCAAAGCAGTAAAAGCAGGACACGCAAATGACGTCGATATAGCTGCGCAGGTTCTCGCCGATAATTTAAATGGTAATATTTCGGAATCATGGACGTTAGCAGAAGACAAAGGTCTCATCCGCAAGATTGATTGGCGACTTATTTCCATTGTGAGAAAGAAAATCCCTTCCACATGACCACACGAAAGACTGACAGAAACCAAAGCTTTTTGTCTGTGCTACTCTTTCCCCCCTTCGATGAAACTGCCATCTCAGCAGCTGCAATTTACCACCTAAGAAGCGATTTGAATTTGACGGGGCAGGAGTTCTCCTGGATTGGCTCGGCCCCTTTTTTGGGGGGGGGGACTAGCGTTCATGGGCCCTTCCGCTTATTGTTTACAAAAGTAATCATCCCCAGAAGCTAGCTTTCACGTCTGTTCTGACTTCTCATCAAGATTTCCACCAGTCGCTTACTTTGCTTTCAATGTATTTTGCTGGGGAGTTTTGGAAATGGCAATGGCGGCTAGCACCGGCTTTGGGAGTTTGTTTGCGTGTAGATTTCTTCTTGGGGGATTTGAAGTACTTCTCATCCCAGCGGTAACTTTACTCATTGCTATGTGATATAGACCAGATGAGCAACCAGCTAGAAATGCCATCATTTTGAACGTTATAGCTCCCATCCTCAATGGACTCGTCGCCTGGGCAGTCGGTATGAACACAGCGAAGAAGAAATCGAACATTGGCTTACATGTTCCAGGTTATCACCAAGGACCCTTCCCTGCTTGGAAAATCATATTCTTGACTCTCGGTGCTTTCACAATCTGTTGGACACTCGTAGTTTTCTTCTTTCTGTAAGTGTTTCACACAAAGATAAAGCGTTTCGAGTCACGCTCTAGCAAACTACAGACCAAACACCCCTCTTGAAGCAACTTGGCTTTCTGAACGACAAAAATATATGTTGATCCACCGAAAATCAACAGACAATACCGGAATTTCATCTCCATTGCTCGAGCCCTCGCACATCGTTGAAGCACTGACAGATCCAAAAACATGGCTTATCTGGTTGGCTATTGTTGCACTCCAAGTCCCTAACGGTGGCTTGACAACCTTTAACACACTGATAATTCAAGGCCTAGGTTTCGATAGCAGGACCACTGCACTTCTCGCGATGCCACCAGGAGCCATGAGTACGCTGTCTGGAATAGGATTGTCTATCCTTGTCGCGCACACGAGAAGGTACCGAACATCGATCGTGGCATTCTCAATTTTACTCCCGCTGGCTGGAGGAATTATATGTTATTCCCTTCCAAGAACCAACCTCGCGGGGCAACTAATTGGATTATACATCTTGTACACGTATTGGGCGCCCTACGTAGCGCTCGTCTCAATATACCAAGCCAATGTTGCAGGCCATACTAAGAAGATCTTCCTCTTCGCTTGGTTCTACGTCGCGTGGGCGGCTGGCAATATCATCGGTCCACAAACGTTTCTCGAATCTCAGGCTCCAAAATATACAGGTGGCACAGTCGCAATGATCGTATGTTATGTGGTGGCTATCTTTTGTGTACTTGGCTATGGGGTTTTGTGTACGAGGAAGAATCGTGAGCGAACAGAGGGAATAAGCGAGAATTTAGGGGCGAATGATTGGTTGGATTTGACGGATGGAAAGAATCACAGTTTTAAGTATACTACTTAATTGAAAAGATCGACAACTAGCCATCTAACTACCCCCCAATGCCTTCATCAATCATTCTATTCCTATCGTCTGTTTGCCGCCGCAGGCTTCTTATTAGGTTTGGGCTTTGACAACTTTGTTATTCCAATAAAAGGTCCAATCTTCGAATTCCCGGGTCTTAGCCTCAATGCATTTCCCCTAAAATTGGGGCCGTTTTTAAGCATGGCTATGTATCCTGTACCCGGATTAGGGGTAGGTGCTCTGTTTTCCAGAATTGGCGTGCCGGCCGACTTCTTCGTTTCCTCTTCTGGTACGGATCTTTGGATTTTAGTGTCCCGTGAAGTTTGGGGATAATGCTCGGGGTTCGTACCCATTGGCAATGGTGTTTTTCTATAGGCATGACCGGGATTCTTGCTGGATGAAATTTGTTGTCGTGGCGATGGTGTCCTGGCTTGCACCACCTCTGGTGCAGGTTTTTTGACTGTTGCTGATTCCAGAGATACACGCTTCTTGGGCAGTGCTCCTACTCCGAGCCCACTCCTGGATTTACGTTGATTCGTGGGGCGGGTGTTTGGTCTTGGCCCTGCCTTGTAGAGTCGAGTATATCCTGAGCTGGTTTTCTGTCCATAGTCGAGTCCGTAGGTGAGCATGGGCTCCCCAACCCTTGGCTTCGGTTGTCCCACGGGTGATTTTGGGATATGGGCCCACGAGCCTTGGTTGAGCTTTTCCTCAAGACGTGCGACAGCAGCTAGATCAATTGCCCCTGCTCTTTCCTCTACGACTCCACGCTTTGATCCAGGTCGTCGCGGCGGTGGCAGTGTCAGTGGCACTGGCTCGGGTTTCTTGTTCTTGAATGGCCGTCCGACGAAGGCCCATGACTCCGCATTGAGCTTCTCTTTCAGACGTGCCAAAGCAGCTGGATCGATTGGTTCAGGGTCAGGGGTAGATCTTTTCGCTACCAGTCCACGTTTCGATGGAGGTGGTCGCGGTACTGGTTGCGGCCGTGGTGCCGGGTCCAGCTTGAGCTTCTTTGACGGCCGTGGGTGTGGCCGTGGGAGGGTCCATTTGTGTGCATTGAGCTTTGCTTTAATACGTTCCAGAGCAACTGGATCGATTGTTCTAGATCTTTCTGAGAGCTCGGATGGAGCAAAGGGCATTGAAGCTACAAAAGTAGAAAGAACCGCCGCTGCGACAAATACGTTTGGAATTAACATGGTGAACTTCGGATGTTGAAAATATGTAATATAAAATGAATGTAGTAATGTTTAACGAATGTAGGGCTCCGAGTGGAATGTAAATACCAAACAAACAAAGAAAGAGAGAAACAAAATGACAGCGGTAAGAAGAGGGGTGTTAGATGGAGGGGAGGAATCATCGAGGAGCAGTTGGTTTATAAGTACCAGGAAGCTTCCAGAAGATAAGTTAAGAAATCCCCATACAGTATCAAAAGCTTGTAATAAATTGATATTCCGATATCCGCAAATGACGGTATGTCCATGACCTTACAAGGATAATACTCGATCTCAAACTGGTATCTGTAAGATCGTCAACCCGGATGCCTTGTAAACCCAGCTATCGCCAATCATGGCAAGAAGATCTGTACGAGGATAAGACGCTAAGTAAGATATTCATATATCTATTTTAGAAAGTTGACAGGTTGAAGGCAAATTTGCGCATAACCTTCGGCATGGCGAATGGAAATAGTACATCCAAGACCTCTATGCTTGGCTATACGAGAAGGTCCATAAAATTGCCGCGCTCTATGGGCACACAATGGCGAGGTGCATGATAATCGTTCCCACTATCCCGGGCAGCAGAATAAATTTATCGTCAAAATCTAGAGACTTATCAATGACAAAAAGAGGTATTTCCAACAGACAACATAAATACTGTCGAGTGAGAACAAGGTAGTGCCACTCCGTAGAGCTCCTTCTCGTATTATCAAGGCATTCTTGGGCGACATTCTCCAAGTATTCACGCTTCGTTGTAGTTCGTAACCAGATCTTCCCCAAGAGGTTAATTTAGAGCTCTCACGATGTTAGAATTACAGTACAAGCTTACTCGTATGGTTATCGGGTGAACGGACTACAGAGCGGGCATGGCCGGATAGGGCGGGCCACTAACCCACTCTTCTAACCCACATTTCACGTCGTCTACATTTTTAGAAAGACTGATTAGCCATCCCATCTGACCAACTGACCACAGATGGAGGGAGTAATCGGTTAGGTGGCTTTAGCCACGCTAATTTGGTCACATGGGCGCTAGAGTAGTTTTAAGATCCGATAGTCGGACTCATTAATCTACACCTTATTCCTACTTTATAACCCTGATTTATTTAGTAGAGTAGCTAGTGAAAGCCGCCTTATTCGGAATACTAAGGCTTCTATTAAAGCTATGTATAGATTTAACTATATCATACCGTTAGTATTAGTTAAATCCTTATCTTTCGACCTTCTACTATTGTGAGGGTTGGAACCCATGATGGAGGCTCGGGCCATGCCCTCGCTAAGCACTGACCAAAGTCCCTGCTTAGCACTGGCCATTACCCCACTGCCAAACAGGTTTCTATTTTTTCACACTTTCTTGTTTTGTTCTTCTGACATCATGTATTAGTCATTCAAGTTTCTTGGAATATTCAGGAAGCTCTTCCTCTCTGTATATAGAGGAAGAGCTCGCGTGTATGTAGTCTTCACGCACTTCTTAATTGAATATTCGAAACCACACCTTTGAGCTATTCGAGGTCTGGCCTCTCACATTATCATAGCATACCAACCAGCGAACACCCAGCCAAGTTTAGTTAGCCAGTTTGAGTATTCGTTACACCCGGCGCATCTGTACTTCTTACCCGCATACCAACCGTCGAAACGATTACCTTTGTCAGATAGTTTGAGTTTCGTCACAGTAGGATTTAGAAGAGAAATAGAAAAAAGAAGCTAAAATAAAGTAGAACAATAAGGTTATTTATAAGTATACTAGGTTTATAAATACACTAGATTTATTAAAGTATACTAGCTAGACTTATTAAAGTATACTAGTTCGCTAGTTCGCTAGTTTATATAGCTAGGTTCGTTAAAGGTACGCTTTATTAAGAGCTATATATTATATTTATATTTAAGTACTCTCTTACTATAGATTAAGAACGTATATATCTACCTAATTTCTACCTATTTTACTATTATATTTTGGACTTATTTTAGACCTATTGTAGACCTACTAAAACCTATAAAGCCTAGCCTTAGAAGTACTCTCGCCTTCTTTTATCCGGTACCCTAGCGAGAATAAAGAGTACTAATTAGTTAGAATTAAAGTAAAAAGAAAAGCGCTCTAGTTTATATAAATAAGAACGGAGATTTTATAGGAAAGGAGTAGCGAGGAGAGGTTTAAAGGGGAGCTTTCTAATACTATTTATAGTATCTTAGTTATATACCTAAGTTTCGTAGTATACTCTCCGTAGTAGTATTAAACCGTGTATTTTCTTCCTACCTTAAACCCGATCAAAAGACTTTTATTATACTACGGAAATTCCTATAGAATTTTTAAAAAGTTCTAGTATTATAAGACAGATACTAAAGAATACTTTAAGATTTAATTTATATTTTTACGATTTATTTTAATAGTCTAAAGAGAGGGTAATAGTGGAGTATATAGGTGTAGAATATACGGTTTAATAGCGACGTAGAGGCACGTTCCCCGTATTAGACTAAATGTGTTCAAGAATAAATCCTTGATATTAACTAACTAGCTAGCTACTCCATCCCATGCCTATGCTTAGACTATTGGTACAATCATTCATAAAAAGGAAAGGAAAAGGAAAGAAAAATCTCCATCCATGGTATCATGATTCGCATTCGTGAAAAAGACAAGGAAAGAATATGATCCAGCACCCTAGTACCTAAATACCACGATATTGCTCCTGATGAGAGAGAGAACCATGTCGACCAGCCCGATCATGAGCATGATCCCCGTGCAAAATCTCCGGCGAGCCATGGTGGGCTGCAAAGACAGAGGGGGGAACTTGAGATGCGTCATAAGAGTCCTTGTGTGCATATGTTTCTCTGTGAAAAATGTTAGTTGCGTATTGGATGAGGGGAAGAAGAAGAGGCTGCTTTTCTATAATGGAAGGGGTGGAATAAAAATATTGGTGCGAACCTCTGATGGAAGATCATTTGCTTACGCATAAGTCTTGTTTCCTCCGACAGTCTTGGAGCCATCCAAGTTCGAGTCAACTCTTGGGTCCAGCTTGTTGAGGAGATCGCTCTTGTGTGGGCCAGCAGTGTTGGGTGCTGGGCCAGGCTTGACGTGCGAGGCGACGGTTCCTGCAACTCCACCGTGGGTGGCACGACCATCAAGATCGGAGTCGACCTTTGGGTCAGCCTTGTTGGCGAGGTTGGAGCTGTGAGGACCAGCGTTGGTGGAGTGACCAGTTGAGCCTGTTAGGCCACCAGTTGTGTGTGTGTTGTGAGTAGTACCAGTCAAACCACTTCCAGTTGTGTGGGTGTTGTGGGTAGTACCAGTGTGGGTTGAAGGGGTGTTGTGTGTACCAAAAGTTCCGCCAGCATTGTTGTGCTTGTCTTGAGCTCCAATGGTGTGGGCATGGCCCCCAGTCTTGCTCAAGTCAGAATCGATTCTTGGGTCAGCCTTGTTTAGGAGATCGCTCTGTGAAATTAATTAGTAATTACTCGGTCAAAAGCAAAGGAAACAAACCTTGTGAGGACCAGCAGTGGTGTTGGTGGAGTGGCCAGCGCCTGTAAGACCAGTGGTGTTTGGTTTGGCATTGCTGTGGCCAGTCAATCCTGAACCGCCGGTAGTAGTGTTGTGAGAAGTGCCAGTCAAGCCGCCACCAGTGGTGTTGTGTCCAGTCAATCCGCCTCCAGTGTGGGAAGTACCCGGCAAACCACCACCGGTTGTGTGGATAGTGTTGTGAGCAGCTCCAAGGTTTCGGCTACCATCCAAATCACTATCGATTCTTGGATCAGCAGCATTTGCGGCTCTGCTGTTGTGGTGTCCAGCTAGACCCTCAGTAGTACCAGTGTGGGTGCCGGTAGTATGAGTGCCAGTGGTGTGAGTTGGGTGAGCACCTGGAATGACTTCCTTAGCTTTGTTGATAACTCCAGACATGATGAGGGTATTGAGTTCTTGAGTGTTGTTTGTGAATTGGGTATGAAAGTGTTGTTTTGTTGATTGAGTATCGAGATCAAATTGTGGTATTCGAGACGATGTTGTGTTTATGAAGAAGGAAGGGGATGTTGATGGAGATCAAGCACTCTTATATATCTGGTTCACTCTCACAACTTCCAGCAATTACGCAATAGGCCAAGCGCTACGCCCAAAAACCTGTTTTTCCAGGTTTTGGTTGGCCATTCATTCAAAGGAGTATCAGACTGTGCCTGAAGCCATAGCATTCACCAACAACCGCATACCAAAACACAACAAGGCAAGACCCCTCATCGTCATAGCTCCCCCCACCACTTGAAGTAGGTACGACCCTGAGCGTACTGCAGTGTAGGAACCCCGCAGATCCCGCTTCCTTTTTCCAAGGTTTTCTCGGTAGCCGCCTTTTCCCGTGCGTCTAATTGGTGCATTCCGCCTCACGGGGCACATACAAAAAAACTCCCATACCGTAAAATGCCATATGCGGAGATTTCCACCTTCTCAAAACACCGCACGTCATATGTGGCGTGTGTCGCTTGATGGACGCCACACTTGCTATACCCCTGCCAAGAAGTGAATCCTCCACCAATGACTGTACCCCACGAAGCGGGGGTCGCTCCGCAATGATGTGGCTGGTGACGTCTAGCGTGGTTTTGCCTTTTTGTTCAAACCTCACCTGTGGCTGTGCGGAAATATCTAGCGAGATCTCGATGATGGCTTGAGATGGATACTACTGGGTAATGGGCACGCAACAAGGAAAAGCAAGCACGTACTCCGCAACCCCGACCTAACCCCCCAGATGTACTGATGCACCGGCAAGTATGGAGATCATGAGATGGGAGGGTCCAATGAATGATGAATCTAGACTTACGCCACTCCAACTCGTTGCACTATAGTTGTGCGGAATTTGTGTAAGATGACGTCTTTGAAAATTGTTGCAAACAAAACACGAGATGAAGATTCGGAAAAATAAAACCAGATCGTGATATGAATTCAAGGCAAGTACATTAATAAATCAATTCAAATATATCAAAACAATTATTACAACGACCCAAAACTCCTAAATAACATCTCCAAACACCTATTCAATCCCAAAAAGAAGAAGGAAAAAATTGATTATTATATTATCGACTCTCACATCAACTTCCTCACTCTCTTCCACAAACCCCAAATATCCACTCTAAAGAACAACTGGCACTGCAGTGCAGCTCTAAAAAAGCACGCAAGGCGAGAAAGGCAGCTTGCTTACAGCGTCACACCAGCCTGGGTATGAAAGAGCCTGAGACACATTAATAATTTTGACGCCTAACATCAAGCTTCCAGGTTTAGGCTGCGAGGCTACACATTTATCATGTGTCGAATACCGCTAAGGAGCATCGTAAAACACGCTTGGAAATAGATTACATTTGGAGACAGCGTCTCGAGCGCATAAGAGAGTCAGGATTTCAACGGGAATAATACTGAGTATGAGTAACATACTTAGATTCAACTCGATCGAATTTTTGGATGACGTCTTTTGCTAAAGCTACGCCGCAAATTCCCTGCACTCGCAGATTCGAAATATCAGAGGACTGGCTACTCGGCGAGCTCGGTAGTGTTTGATTCAGAAACCTCATTACCAAAATCGGTCACCACCCACAACGTTCACAAGCATTTGCATTCACGGATGTTGCTCTAACATCAATACAGAATATATACACATCTTCTATGACCGATCCCCACCCCCGCCCCCCCTTTCCCCCATC